CTTCATCTGTATTTACAGCTGGTCCCCATCATTTGCATTACCTACTGAGCTCTGCCTCCTGCCAGCCATGGAAAAATTTTCTTACATGAAATCAGTCCCTGGTGCCAAAAAGGTTGGGGACTAATGCTATAGAAGAGGGGACACAAGGGCTTAGGGTGACAGGAATACTGGAGTGGATTTGTCATGTGTTATCTGTATGTCCACCTTATCACATCATCTCCCAAGAAGACCTAGAAGGCACTCCTGTCACTATGGCATTTGTAAATACATTAATGAGGACATCACCTATATCTTTGAAAAGCTCTGTAGTTGTTGTCCATGGCTGATACCACATGGAGCATCAGATGGCCATGTGACCTGAGCTTCTGATTATGAACTGGGTGCTGTTTGACTCAACTAGCTATAAGTTTTGAGTATGCACACCATCAAATGGAAACAGCCTATAAGATCAAGTATAGACAAGCTAGAAGGTATAAGTTACTGGAGCAAGTAGTTCAGACTCTGACTTCTGTTGCATTATCTCTTTTCACTCAATCTATGCCTACAGCTTCCTGGGGAATTCCTTAAGACCAACTAACTAAGGAAGAAACTGTTCAAGCCCGGTTTATGAGTGCATCTGTATAATATTCTTACACCACCTGAAAGTAGACAGCTACAGCATCACAGCCCTACTCAGTGGTGACCCTACTGAGCAACTAATGAAAGAAAATCCTCTCGGTGGGCAGAACTTTGAGCAGTACATTGTCCACTTTATCTGGAGAGATGGACAGAAGTATGGATCTATCGGCAGTTGCTCTACAGATATATACAGATCTAAGGACAGTTGTTAACAGTTTGGCTGGATGGTCAGGGGTAGTAATAACAAGACTGGAAGATTGATGACAAGGAGACCTGGGGAAGAAGTAGGTAGATGGATGTTTAGGAATGGGTACAGACTGGGACGATATCTGTGCCCATTGTGATTGCCCAATAAAAGACTTTTGCGGCAGAGGAAGCTCTAACTAACCAGGTTATGTATGATTAGCAACGAAAATAGCACTTTTTCTGTCACCCTCTCTCTTCAGCTGCCCTAGTGCTTGCTCAATGGGTCCAGTAACAAAGTGACCATGGTGGCAGGAGGATATGAATAAGCTCAACAACATGGACCTCCCCTTACCAGAACTGACCTGACTAATGCCACTACTGAGCACCAAGTCTGCCAAGGCAGAGATCAACACTGAGTCCCTGAGATGGAACCATTTCCTGGGGGACAGCAGCCATTTGGTGATAGGTTGAATATATTATAACTTTTTCCATCATGGAGGGAGGCAGAGATTTATTCTCACTGGAATAGACATATTCTGAATATGGATTCACCTCTTCTGCTAATAATGATCTGCTAGCACCACCATCCATGGACTTATCCACCATCATGGTACTCCGCAGAACACTGCTTCTGATCATGGAACTAATTTCACAGCCGAGGAAGAGAAGCTCTGAGCTCATGCCTACGAAATTAGCTGATTTTTACCATATATGCTGCCCCTCAGAACCATCTGGACTAATTAAAGATAAAATGATGTCAGTTGGGAGACAACACCCTGAAAGGATGGGGCTCCATCTTATAGGATGCAATATATGCTTGGAATTCAGAGATCATCTCAGGGTTCTGTCTCCTCCATAGTCAGAATACATGTGTCTGGGAATTAAGAGGTGGAATAGTAGTGGCTCCAGTCACTATTATACCTAATAACCCATTTGCTGAATTTTTAATTCTCATCCAAACAATTTTGCTCTCCATAACTATAGAGTACAGAGATCATAGTCCCCAAGGGGAAAATGATTCCATTAGGGAATAAAACAGTAAATGGAGAGATAAGACTCCTACCTGGTCATTTGGAGCTCTTAATGTCACTAAACCAAAAGTAAGAAGAATGAGTTACTCTACTGGCTTCAGTAGTTGATCCCAATTACCAAGAGGAAATTGGGTTACTGTTATATAATAGGGGAGAGGAAGACTATACCTGAACCCAGGGAATTCTCTGCCTCTTAATACTGTCAATATGTCTATTCCCAACAGTACAGGTTAATTGCAAATTATAGCAATCAAAAAGAACCAGGAGTATTGAGGACTCACATCCCTCAGGAAGGAAGTTTTGGGTTTCTCTATCAAGTAAGAAACCTATTGAGGATATTACTGAAGACAAGGGAAATAAGGAACTGGTAGTAGCAGAGGAAGCCATAGATACTATCTATGGTCTGATGACCAATTATTTATAAAAAGGACTGTAATACATCCTTTCTCTGCTTATTATGTATATGTCTTCATTTGGATATATTAACCATTTCCTCCTTCTTCTTGCTATTACTGAAGGTTAACTTTAGCAATTAATCTTTATGCAACAGTATATTCAGCCACACTACAATGAAGTTTGAGGAATAATTAGTATTACTAGCTATGAAAACAATGACTTTTCACACTGGATGCTTCTTCATTTGGGTAAGTGCAAGAATTTTTTATTGTGTGTAAGTTCAAATTTGTAGAAGATACCTACAGAAGGTGAGTAGCCAAAGGAGTAGACTATGCCACTTACCACTTTATCACCTCTCACCTCTAAATCTACCCTTCCTTGACCTAGTTTTGTGAAACTGTGGCTTCAACTTACAACATTTCTCCTTTACCAATTTGCATAATGTTAGGCCTTGTCAGTAAAGGGCACTGGAGGAACACTGTAAGAAGGGGCTTTTCTTCTTGCACCCTTCAATATTGTTATTATAGCCTACAGGGCCAGATTAAAAATGAGGTCCTAAAAGCACTGGAAAGCTATTATTTCTATAAAATATGATTTAAAATATATCTGCCATTTCAATGTCACTGAACCTTTAGTCACTGTATTCCTTCCTTTTCTCTGTCTCCTTTTTGTTCCTTCCCTCCACTGCTTCACTTCCTTCAGGTGTTTAACAACTCCAGGGTATGCCATCCACATTGCACAGAAGGTGCCAGTCCCACAGAATGTCCTGCTATTATGCAACACGTGCAACCCTGCTTCATTTTCTGTCCATTAGAAATCCATGAGGCATGTTTTCAACTACTTCTTAATTACTACTCTTAAAGTTTGAAATTAGGAAGAAACAGGACATATTTTTAAACCTGGTATGGGTTACCAGCAAAGTTGGCTATAGTCTTTCATTGGTAACTTTTTGAAAACATACTAAAAATGCATCTAACCAAGGTACAAAAGGAGGGTGACAATCTAGGTTTCTTTCCATTTTAATGAATCTCCAAATTCCAATATTCCTGATTCTTTCTTTCTACTTATTCAGTACAGTATAACAGACACTTAGTACACAGACAAATATTAAGTGTACAGCTTGATGGACCAAGTACTCTGAGCACAATACAATTAAATTTAGATATAAAAAGATAACAAAAAATTCCGTAGCTTAAAGAAATCATAATGGAAAAATTTTAGAACTTAAAACCAAATAACAAATCATAAAATTTTTAGGATGAAGCAAATATGTATTTAAAAATTGTTAACTTAATTAAATGTACTTCTTTTGATAAGCATTTTAGTTTCATTTTATAAATGCCATATCCCTGTAGAAAAATTCAGAATGAATATAAGGTTAAGAGAAACTTGGGAGTTGTACTCAAAGGCCATTTCTTTCTTCTTCCTAGCTATGTGACCTTTGACAAGTCACTTAATTTCTCATTTTCTTCCTATTTTTCTATTTTCTAAGGTCTCCCTGCCTCCTTTCTCTACTAAGGTTTTTGAGAGAAGATTTAAAATGTAAATAAAGAACAAGATCAGCAGCAAAATTAGGGGAAGCAATGGAAATATTCTATTAATATATTTTGATGTGGTGGTGGCAGTGACTTCACAGGCATAAACATTTGTCAAAATTAATCAATTGTGCACTTTGAATATAGTTTGTCATACATAAATTATATCTCAGTAAACAGATTTAAAAAGACACAAAAAGAAAATTGTTGAGGCACAGGAGGGGGGTGTTAAGTAATTGCTAGTTTGTTTCTCCATCCCCTTCCCTTTATATATTCACTTGAAAGGAAAAAACACCTAGGCACTATTCCCATAAGAAAATCCCTAAAAACTTCCTGAGATAATTATGAGGTTATTACCCTTGGCCTCCTCTCCTTCACACTAAATCCAGTATCTTTAATTTTCCCTATGAATTTCACCTTTCTATCCTTTTGCACAGCAAGATCTTCAATTTAGATTGTATACCTCTCATTTCAGTTAAAGAACAAAAAAATAGTAATTTGCATACATTACAAAATATCTTGAGGTCGTTAGTTGTTAGCTCCACAAAGTCTATAGGCCTTATTGGCAGTACTATGTTGCTAACTCATGTATTAAAAGAGGATTATTATATACACTTAAATCCTATTCAACCAAACTTAAAGGAAGCCAGCTATACAATTACTATTTTGAAGTCTCTATTGATCACTGGCTATATCTATACTCCCAAAGTGAATTATATTATTTTATAACAAGAGTGGCTAAGATACCCTTCTTTTTTATTTGCTACTATCATTAGAAAAACTTAACTCTTCATTTTCTTTTTAACATATCAAGCGTAAGTTATGGTACTAACTCAGTTATCATGGATTTATGTATTCTAAACTCCAAAGAAAATATCTCATGTTGGGCTTTTGACATTAGTGAACTCTCTAGTTGTTTTGCCAGTAATATTAAACATAGACTGCCTTCCCTAAATTGCTAAAATCAGAGAGCTCACTGAAATGGATTACTTCTAAGAAATCTGTCTAGGCTAGAAACTACCATTACCCATTTTCAAAATAAATATCTGATGAGTGAGATTTTTATTTGCTACTTTGTTTTTGCTTTGTTTTAAAAGCAAAATTTTACCCTATGTAAATATGAAAACACACTTTTTCATCTTACATTTTTTGCTTACTTTTTAATCATTTCTCAAAGAAGTTAGTAGATAATAAAAAATAAAGTTACCCTCTCCCCCAAGTCCATTTCACTCACCTACAAAATGGGCTGGGAACAGTAGGTATCACATAACAAATCCCCCCATTCAGGCAAAAGGACCTGTGACCAGGACCACAGGGCTCTTCGTGATCTAAAACACATGCATATATGAATAGAGAAAGGCAAGTAAAGCTTTTGTGATGCAACAAGGAATAGGAATAACTATCTTAGAATGAAGTAGCAATCCTAAAATTCACAATTAAGAATTTTTTCTCAAAGTGAAAGACTTAATCTTATTCTTTGATAGGAACTTCCATCCCTTTGAGGGAAAAATTAATCCATCCTAAAGATATGGCCATTAATTATAATGGATTTAGAAGCTATATAATAGAAATAACGAATATCTACATTAGTCAGATTAAAAGGTGATTAGGATCTTAGAATTAATAGGACCTTTCTTATTTAGTACAGAGATTCTACATTATTACTTAGAGCTTCCCTGTCCCAAGGTTTTATTTCAATTCTTATTTTTCCTATTGGGTCTCAAATGTATTAAAATTTGAAACTATGGTAGAAAAAAGATTTAGATGATTGAAATAAATTTTTATTTCCAAAATTATCTTTAAATATTCTTATGTGACTGTCTTAATGTAAAAGCTAAAAATAATCATATACAGTTTTGATTTGCAAGGTGATTTTAGGTAACAGCTAGTAACTGTAAAGAAATATCTAAAGTTCTAAAGTAAAATTATAAACTTAAGTCATACAGCCAAATGTTTCAGAATATTAAGAAAATAAATCTCCATTTATCTCTTGCTTTTCTCTTCCTCCTCTTTCTCCATCTTCACTTTCCTTCTTTATCTTTGACCTTTCCTTTATCTTTCTTGTATCTCTTTGCCTTCCTTTTCTCCCTTGGTACCTCTGCTCCCTTCCAGCCTCACCCTGACCCATTACTTTTTTTTTTTTTTTTTGAGACAGAGTCTGTCTTTGTTGCCCAGGCTAGCGTGAGTGCTGTGGCGTCAGCCTAGCTCACAGCAACCTCAAACTCCTGGGCTCAAGCAATCCTACTGCCTCAGCCTCCCAAGTAGCTGGGACTACAGGCATGCGCCACCATGCCAGGCTAATATTTTCTATATATATTAGTTGGCCAATTAATTTCTTTCTATTTATAGTAGAGATGGGGTCTCGCTCTTGCTCAGGCTGGTTTCGAACTCCTGACCTCGAGCAATTCGCCCGCCTCAGCCTCCCAGAGTGCTGGGATTACAGGCGTGAGCCACCTCGCCCGGCCCTTGACCCATTATCTTAAAAAAAAAAGAAATCTCCTTTGACTCCTGGCCACCAAAGTTACTGTATAGAAAAAAATTACAAATAATAATAGAAGAATTCATTGAGTCATTATACTACTAATTTATGATGAGAAAATAGCTGAATGCTTTTTATCTTTTAGCCTTAAAGGGGGGATTATTTTGTTTTAAAATTACACATTGTTAGTTCCTGATTGTTTCTGTCTAGGAAATGATCCCAGAATCACCTAACATGAAAAATAAAATGACATTACTCCCATTAGAACTCCAATTTAGTATTTAAACAAAAAATATACTAAATTAAAAAAAAATGTCTAGCATTTATTTACCACTAAGATGTCAATAGCCATTAAGATACAATTGCTATGAGTCAGATGTCTCCATAATTAGAATTTGAAATTTTAAAACTTTATTTTAGATTGAGAAAAACCTACTTCAACATCACATTATTAACTATAAAAATAAAAAAATGTAAAGAGGAAAACAGAACTAAAGATAATTTAACTGGTACAGGAGAAAGTAAACTAACCAAAACTAATTTTAAAAGATTTTTTTCTTTTTCACACAATGCCATGCTTCATTATAATCAAAAAACTTTTAATAAGATTATACACATTTTCAGGAATAATTTGGCTAACAGATAAAACCTCAATCAACACTCCATTACATCAGCATCATGAGAGCCGTCACACACGGTTTCCCGTTAACGATGCAATGTAACTTTATCATTGTTAAAAATTAATGTCTTTGTTTTTAACTGCATTATAACCAGATATCTCTCAACACCTGGTATTTTGTCAGCAAAGCAAACTCATCTAACCTGAATAACTATAACAGAATCTATTTTTATTCTGGCTGATTTCTTGGTCTCACTCTGTTGCCCAGGCTGGAGTGCAACGGCATAGTCATAGCTCACTGCAACATCGAACTCCTGGACTCAAGCGATCCTCCTGCCTCAGCCTCCTGAGTAGCTGGGACTAGAGGCCCACATCACTACACCAGCTAATTTTTCAAATAATTTTTTGTAGAGACGAGGTCTCGCCATGTTGCCCAGGCTGGTCTAGAACTCTTGGCATCTAGTGATCCTCCCACCTCAGCCTCCCAAAGTGCTCTGGGATTATAGGAGTGAGCCTCCAGGCCCAACCATTGATTTCATTTATTTATTATTTGAGAAGTTGATTTCAGATATAGAATAAGCTAGAATTTGTCAGTTTATAAAAACCAATCAAACACATCTAAAATAAAATAGTCTAAAATAAAATAGTTTTTTTTACATTATAAAGGAAGGGCTTTCAAAACCAAAATATTTCATATTCTGGAATGATGTTAGATGGGAACAATAAATCCTTATGTTAATATACATTTTTGTTGTTGTTCTATTGTTATGTGACACACATTGACAAAAATATAAATGTACAAGAAATTACCTGTTGGCATCTTAATTTTTAAATAGTTTCATTCTTGGTCAAAAATTAGGGTTGAAAAACAGCACCTAAAACAGTTTAAAATTAATAACTTAGGAAAAATTATCTTCTTTTGAGGATATTAAAAATGCCAAATATTCTAATAGCAATACTCTTAAATATTGAAAATAATTAAGACATTTACATACCAGCAGAAATTTAGTTACAGCATATTTTTAGATACTTACTACATATCAATAAAAAATCTGAACAGATAAAACTAAAAGATCAACATTAAATAGTATAAATGAACTAAATATAAACCATTGCCTGAATAATGTAATTTAATTTTAAACATCTCTCTACAGAAAAGTCTAATAAGCTTTACCTTTAGTAAACATTATTAACATAGTAGTGTACTATGAAATTTTATATGAAAGATCTGAAGCAGTAAACGAAACTGAATGACCTGAATTGACTTTTTACTTTTTCATAAAGCCTATTTATAATCTGACTTTTAAGTAGAATTAGTAACTTTCCATTTTTCAATTTATTGAAAATAGCCAAATACTATAGAAAAATCTTTAACAGTATTTAAAATTTTTACATTTCTATAGAACCTGTAAAACCTTTTATAAAAAGGTTACACATTACATTTACCAGTCTACACATGCCTTTCTTTTTAAAAATGTCTGGTATCTGGCAAAGCAAAGTAGCTAATGAGACATAGTCATGTGTAAAGTTATTTGCTATAATAGAAACAAAGGAATTAAAACATATTTGAAGAGATGAAGCATTTATACTTACATTATGATTACAAGCTCTCAATTCTGTTCCTTTAACACCTACTCCTGACCTAAGCACAAAGACTTTGTAACAGAAATCTCAATCTACAACTTCTCATTAACACAGGTGTAATATCAAGGTCTTCTCCCAAAGCCAATCGCTCTGTCTTACACAGACAAACAGAGAGATGGGGGAGGGAAGGAAGAGAAAGAAAGAAAGAAAAGAAAGAAAGATATTACCCATTTGATTTCAGATAATCACTGGCTCATTCTGAATTTCCTTTTTCCAAACAAATAGGACTTACCCTCAATAAAAACTTAAATTCACACAAAAAATAAGTTTAGTTGGACATGCAGTGTTTCAAAAGTTTTTGAACACTGCAGACTACAGCAGCTGTGACTTGCACTTTACAGCATGTCACAAATCTGATTTATATGGCTGCAGCGTGCAGCGTGGGTGAGGTCGGGACCAGCCAAGGTGTGCACAGAGGCCAGGCTGGCCAAGGGAGCCGCCCTTCAGTCTGCATGTTCAGAGCTGCAAATGGAGCAGAATTTTATTTAGAAAAGGATTTGTACTAAGCTGCACTCCCAAATCACTGTCCAAGTTTTAAAGTTATGAAATAAGCCACATTCTTTAGACTCCTTACTTATCTTTGCTTGTCTGAATAATTCAAGAGTGTTGTCTAAGTTTGGGAGAAAAGGACTTTTAACATGGAGCTAATATATAACTATTCCACAGGATTTTTTAAAAGAAGTTTTAAAATTTGTGTTTTATATGGTTTGTGTTTCCTTACAAATCACAAAATTTATATATATAATACTTGAACTTATAAAACTGAAGAAGGCAATCGCTATAATAGAATGTATAACATCATGTTCAATTTAAAATGAATATAATCAATGAACTTGACTAATTTGACTAGGACTGATGATAATATAACTACCTGAATACTATGGCAAAGCTATTGTACCTGCATTAAGGAGAATTACATTTTAGAAATCATAAATGATTTAAAAATATTGACTAAAACTATAATTTTATTTAAATAAAGTAGTGCTCTTCATCATATAATTATCTAAAGCATGCAAAGCATTTAAATAGTTATCTTTTCCAAAACTACAATTCAGACATTACTATTTCATATAAAACATAGAAACTAATCCATTTGTTTTATTAAGAAAATAAACTCATAATCATACACTATGAAAACAACTATCTTCATTATTACATATCTCCCACATTCAAAAGCAATTTTTACATAGCCACAACCATTATACAGGCATGCTTCATTTTATTGTGCTTCACTTTATTGTGCTTCATGAATATTGTGGTTTTTTTTTTTTTTAATAACTTGAAGGTTTGTGACAACCCTGCATTGAACAAGTCTATCAGCACCATTTTTCCAATAGCATGTGCTCATTTTCTGTCTCTGTATTGTGTTTTGGTAATTCTCACAATATTTCAAACTTATTCATTATACTTATATCTGGTGATCTATGACCAGTGATCTTTGATATTACTATTCTAATTGTTTTAGGACACCATCAACCATGCCCATATAAGACAGAGAACTTAATAATAAAGGTTATTTTGTTAGGGAAAAACCCCCACCCCCTGGCTGAACTCACTGCTGATTGGATTCCTGTGAAGCTTCTGGTTGATCCTACTGATGATAGGGAAAAGCCCCTGCCCGAGTGCCCCAAGGCAAAATCCACTACATGTGAAAGCTTACGGCTGATCCTACTAATTAGATAATAGTTGATTGGTTGTGTAAATGTATAAGACTGGTAAAAAATAAGGAAATGTTGCTCAGAATTTGGTGGCATGCCCCTCTGAGCCCGCCAGCGAAATACAAGCTGATTCTCCTACCCTCTGTGTGCCACTCACTTCTTTCCCTGGTCAATCGCCGGTCACTTGCCACAACATTTTGGTTCCCTGAGTGGGAAAGCCAACTGCGTTGGCCCCTTGAAGCCACCGGATCTGGGACTAGCACGGCGGACGGCGGGACCTCTACAATTCTCCTTGGGAGCTCCCGCCTGCCGCAGAGCCTCGAACTCACCTGGACACTCCGCAGGGAAGGACCAGTCAGAGGCCAGGACATGGGACAAGGTAAGGTCCCAGGACCCACCCGGGACAGGCCCATCAGCGACACAGAAGAGGAGCCTGAACACCTCCTAAGGGTAGGGACCCCCCAGGGCAGAGAATGTGTAACCTCTGTGTGAATATGTGAGTGGAAGGAACTCAGTGACTGCTTGTGGTCATTGTGTCTGTGACCCCACAGCTTCAGCTACGGGGTTTGAGTTGGTCCTAACCTGTGGTGGCATAATGGCGATTCACTCCCCGTCACTGAGAGTGACCGGCCTGGGCTCTATACGGGGACACCTTAGCCAAGATGCACCTAAGTTCCCTGGAGGGACGCAGCCAGGCAGACACCTGAAAGAAGCCCCCACCCCTTGTCTGTCTTGTCTGTCTTGCAACAAAAGAGAAAGGGGGAGAAGTCAGAGCAGGGATCAGAGTCTGGGCAGGGACAAGGTTCAGAAAAGAAGTGTTGTTGGTGGTGTAGGGAACGGGAGCGCTCGTTGAACCAGTTAAAAATGGGAGGGTCCGAATCTAAGCCAACAGCTCTAAGGTGCATGCTGATAAATTTCATATGTTCAGTATGGAGAGTGGTGACTGGGATTCCGGGTCACCCAGAGCAATTCCCATACATAGATTCATGCTGGAGATCACCCAAACCATGCCCCCTTAGGTTCGGTTCTGCGCTGACAAGGGACAGAGTAGGGTTCTAGCGGCTCACAACCCACAAGTCACGCCACCTTCCCGGGCAACCCCGACTACACCCGCTCCACCGCTGGCATATCCACCACTCGTCTGCTGGTTGTGGTCTGTCCAACCCCTTACCCTGGCCTCCCAGATGCCTCTGCATGAAATGCGAAGTCTGCTGCAGGTTTGGGATGACAGAACCATCCAACCGGGGCAACCTGCCCTGTATTATCAGCCGTTCTCCACCACCGACCTACTGAATTGGAAACACCATACGCTGTCCTACTCGAGAAACCGCAGGCCATCATCGACCTCCTGGAGTCTGTCTTCCAGACTCACTGCCCCACGTGGAAGATTGCCGGCAACTCCTGCTGACCCTCTTCAGTGACTGGAACTCGGAAGTGGCTGCAGGAACGGGCACTGGCAGACACCCTGGATGTGGAACAATGGGCACCACAAGCGGTGCCCGAGACCAACCCAGAGTGGGATTTCAACGCACCAGAAGGACAAGCGGCACTCAAGTGGTACTGAGAGGCCATTCTCTAAGGAGTGCGAGAAGGGGCCAAAAAGCCGACCAACATGAACAAGGTTGCCCTAATTACCTAGAAGCCAGAGGAGTCACCCAATGACTTCTACAAGTGCCTCTGTGAGGCATACTGAATATACACACCTCTTGACCCAGAGGCAGCCGAAAACCAGAGAATAGTGAATGCAGCGTTCGTCGGGCAATCGGCCTCCGACATCCGGAGGAAGCTGCAGAAACTCGAAGGATTTACAGGCATGAGTATCACACAGTTAATGGAGGTGGCCCAGAAGGTGTATGTCAACCGAGACCGGACTGCTCAGAGGGAGAAAAATCAGAGGAGGAAGAAAAAGGCCGCCCTCCTGGCTGCTGCCCTCGGTAGACCCCACCTGTCCAAGCGGCCTGGACCCCCACGAAAGGGGGGAACCAGAGGATGGGCACCCCTGGCAAGAGACCAATGCACCAATTTCAAGGGGTTTAGCCACTGGAAGAATGAATGCCCCCACAAGGGAAGTCACCTGTCGCAAGGAAGGACCCCGTTTGGGACTATCCAACAGAAACCGTAAGCCCAAGAGCTAGTGGGCCTCGCTGGCATGGACTCCGACCATTGCGCCAACCGGGTTCCTTCAATCTTGGCCCTAGGGAACCTACGGTCAAGACGAAAGTAGGGGGCCAACAAATGACATTCATGGTGGACACTGGAGCAGATCATTCATTTTGACAACCCCCGTGGCTTACAAAACGGGAAATAACTACAGTCGGAGCTACTGGGACTCAGGTAGCCAGACCCTTCTGCCAGTCCCGGGTATGCCAAATGGGGGCCATCAGATAAGGCACGAGGTCCTCTACATGCCAGACTGTCCAGTACCTCTCTTGGGGTGGGCCTTGCTGAGCAAGTATGAGGCAGACGCCATAAGAGGACACTGAGGAGCTGCAGGAGGCCAAAAAGAAGCTGGCAGAGAAAGACAAGGAGTGCGCTAGCCTGAGGCAACCACCAGTGGGCAGTGGAGTCCCTGCAGGCCTCCCTGGATGCTGAGACCCGGGCCCGCAATGAAGCACTGAGGCTCAAGGAGAAGATGGAGGGTGACCTCAGCGACCTGGAGCTGCAGCTGGGCCACGCTACCCAGCAGGCCACAGAGGCCCAGGTGGCCACACGGCTGCTGCAGGCCCAGCTGAAGGAGGAGCAGGCAGGGCGGGAAGAGGAGCAGCGGCTGGCAGCTGAGCTCCGAGAGCAGGCGCAGGCCCTGGAGCGCCGGCTGCGCTGCTGGTTTCTGAGCTGGAGGAGCTGCGGGCTGTGCGGGAGCAGGGTGAGCGCAGTCAACGGCTGGCGGAGCAGGAGCTACTGGAGGCCATGGAGGCCACCGAGTGCCTCAGCCTCCTGCATTCGCAGAACACAGGCCTCCTGAACCAGAAGACGCAGCTCAAGGTGGGTTTGGCCCAGCTGAGTGGGGAGGTGGAGAAGGCTGTCCAGGTGAGGCGGGAGGCAGAGGAGAAGGCCAAAAAGGCCATCACCGATGCCGCCAGGATGGCTGAGGAGCTGAAGGAGCAGGACACACTGCACACCTGGAATGGATGAAGAGGACGCTGGAACAGACGGTGCAGCTCCGGGCCCGGCTTGATACAACTGAACAGGTAGCTCTCAGAGGTGGGAAGAAGCAGGTAGCTGTGGGGGTACTGACGCAGACTGTGGGCCCCTGGCAGAGGCCAGTGGCCTATCTGTCCAAACAACTGGACTCGGTAGCATCGGGACAGCCGCCTTACCTGCGAGCACTGGCAGCAACCATCTTGCTAATCAAGGAGGTGGACAAGCTTACGCTTGGGCAGAATATCTGTGTGCAGGTCCCGCACACAGCAGTGGCTTTGGTGAACACATCAGGGCACCGATGGCTTTCTAGCAGTCAGCTGGCACAGTGCCAGGGACTGCTGTGTGAAAAACCACAAGTCACCATCGAGACTGCGGACCTTAAACCCTGCCACCTTCCTTCCTACCGGGCCAGGGCCCCCGGACCATGACTGTGCCGAGGCCGTGGAGGAGGTCTGTGCAAGCCGGCCAGACTTGAAAGATAGTCCGTTGCCGGCGCCCGACCTGGAGCTCGACACGGACGGCAGCAGCTCTCGTCTCCAAGGCATTAGGTATTCTGTGGACAGGCCGCAGAGCTCAGGGAAAGTGGAGCGCATGAACCGAACCCTCAAGGTTACGTTGGCCAAACTCTGTCAAGAGACACAACTACTCTGGGTAGGTATGTTAAGCATCGCCTTACTGGGGGTAAGATGCACGTTTGGTGTGAAAGAAGCCGAGACAGATGACGCGACCAGCCATTGGACGGTGCAACAAAGTCGACAGGACGGATTGCCCTTCAATCTGGCTGGAAGCTGAGGACTGAAAGGGACCACTGGCTTGGACTCCTATAGGACTGACAGTCTTCTTGGGCCTCCGCCCCAAGAGACCACCACAACACTAACTTACTTCTTGGTAACCCTTTCTGGGTCTGCATGGGGTGCCTCTGTTGTTCTTGGTTGGGGCTGTCTGGGCCCCGCTCCAACAGACACAACCAACTGCCCCTCAAGTATAGGGGGAGGGGTGGCAGCTGGGGTAGGAATCCCTGCTATCTCTCCAGAGTCAGAGACTCGCTGGCAAACCCTGCAGAATAAGCACTTGAAAAGGGGGAGACTTGTGTGCTCCTGGGGGAAAGAATGCTGCTACTATGTAAACCAATCAGGAATTGTAACTATTAAAGTTAAAGGGCTAAAGGAAAGAATCCACAAGAGAAAACAGGAGTTAGAATAGGCTTGGGGCTCTATTGCCTCAAGCCCGCTGATGGTAACCATGGGACCCTGCTTGCCCAATGCAGTTATTAGATCCATAGAGAGGTTGATGCCTCTGTGTAAACTGATAAGGGCATCAACAGGGGGGAATGTTAGGGAAACCCCCCACCCCATGGCTAAACTCATTGCTGATTAAATGCATGTGAAGCTTATCCTACTAATGATAGGGAACCCCCCCACCCCACCCAAGGGCCTTGCTGATTGGATTCCTGTGAAGCTTACAGCTGATCCCCCTGGTGATAGGGAAAAGCCCCTACCCAGCTGGGCATGGTGGCTCACGCCTGTAATCCCAGCACTCTGGGAGGCCGAGGTGGGCGGATCGCTCGAAGTCAGGAGTTCAAGACCAGCCTGAGGAAGAGCGAGACCCCATCTCTACTATAAATAGAAGGAAATTAATTGGCCAACTAATATATACAGAAAAAACTAGCTGGGCATGGTGGCGCATGCCTGCAGTCCCAGCTACTCAGGAGGCTGAGGCAGTAGGATCGCTTGAGCCCAGAAGTTTGAGGTTGCTGTGAGCTAGGCTGACTCCATAACACTCGCTCTAGCCTGAGCAACAAAGCAAGACTCTGTCTCAAGAAAAAAAAAAAAAAAAGCCCCTACCCAAGTGCCCCAAGGCAAAATCCACTACATGTGAAAGCTTACGGCTGATCCTACTAATTAGATAATAGTTGATTGGTTGTGTAAATGTGTAAGACTGGTAAAAAATAAGGACCTGTTGCTCAGAATTTGGTGGCATGCCCCTCTGAGCCCGCCGGCAAAATAAAAGCTGATTCTCCGACCCTCTGTGTGCCGCTTGCTTCTTTCCCTGGTCAATCGCTGGTCACTTGCTACAACAGTGTGTATTCTCAATGTTTCACTGACTGGCTGTTCCCTCATCTCCCTTCTCCTTGGGCACTCCTATTTCCTGAGACACAACAATATTGAAATTAGGCCAATTAATAACCCTACAATGGCCTCTAAATGTTCAAGTGAAAGGAAGAGTGACATGTCTCTCACTTAAAATCAAAAGTTAGAAATGATTAAGCTTAGTGAGGAAGGCATATCGAAAGCTAAGATAGGCTGAAAGCTAGGCTCTTTATGCCAAACAGGCAAGTTGTGAATACAAAGGAAAAGTACTTGAAAATTAAAAGTGCTACTCCAGTGAACACATGCATGATAAGAAAGCAAAAGAGCTTTATTGCTGATATGGAGAAAGTTTTAGTGATCTGAATAGAAGGTCAAAACAGCCACAACATTCCCTTAAGCCAAAGCCTAATCCAGAGCAAGGCTCTAATGCTTATAAATTCTGTGAAGCCTGAGACAGGTAAGTAAGCTGTAGAAGAAAAGTTGGAAGCTAGCATGATGTTTAAGGAAAGAAGCCATCTCTATAACATAAATGTGCAAGGTGAAGCAGCAAGTACTGATGTAGAAGCTGAAGCAAGTTATCTAGAAGATCTAGCTAAAATCATTGATGAAAAAAGCTACTCTATACAACAGATTTTCAACATAGATGAAACAGTCCTAGATGCCATCTAGGACTTTAATATAGTTAGAAAGAAGTCAATATCTGGCTTCAAAGCTTCAAAGGACAGCCTGACTGTCTTGTTAGGACTTAATGCAGCTGGTGACTTTAAGTTGAAGCCAATGCTCATTTACCATTTTGAAAATCCTAGGGCCCTTAAGAATTACACTAAATCTATTCTGCTTGTGCTCTATAAACAGAACAAAGCCCAGATGACAGCACATCTATTAACATCTATTCAACAGTTTACTATATATTTTAAATCCAGTGTTGAGCCTTACTGCTCATAAAAAAAGATTCCTTTCAAAATATTACTATTCATTAACAATGCACCTGGTCACACAACAGCTCTGATGGAGGTGTACAAGGAGATAAATGTTGTTTTCATGCTGCTAACACAACATTAATTCTGTAGCCCATGGATCAAGGAGTAGTTTTGACTTTCAAGTCTTATCGTCTAAGAAACACAGTTTGTATGGCTAGAGTTGCCATAGATTAGTGAATCCTCTAATGGATCTGGGCAAAGTAAATTGAAAACCTCATAGACAGAATTCACTATTTTAGATTTCATTAAAAATTATCACCAGGAAGAGGGCAAAATATCAACATCAACAGGAGTTTAGAAGAAGTTGATTCCAACTTTTATAGATGGCTTTGAGGGGTTCAAGACTTCAGTGAAGGAAGTAACTGTAGGTGTGGTGGAAATATCAAGAGAACCAGAATTAGAAGTGGAGCCTGAAGATGTGACTGAATCGCTGCAATCTCATGATAAAATGTTTATGAACGACAAGTTGTTTTTAAGGATGAGCAAAAAAAACAAAAAACAAGTGGTTTGTTGAGATAAAATCTATGCCTGGTGAAGATGCTATGAACACTGCTGAAATGACAATAAAGGATTTTGAATATTACATAAGCCCAGTTGATAAAGCAGCAGCAGGGTTTGAGAGGACTGATTCCAACTTTGAAAGAAGTTCTACTGTGGGTAAAATGCTATCAAACAGCATTGCATGCTACACGCTTCCTTTCAAGAAAGGAAGAGTCAATTGATGCAGCAAACTTTGTTGTTGTCTTATTTTAAGAAATTGCCACAGTTACCCCAAGATTTGGCAGCCACCACCCTGATCACTCAGCTGCCATAAACATCAAAGCAAGACCCTGCACCAGCAAAGACTCCAACTCACACTGAAGGCTCAAATGATCCTTCGCTTTTTTTTTAGTATGAAGTATTTTAAAATCAAGATACATACATTGTTTTTTAGACAAAATGCTATTGCATACTTAATAGACTACAGTATAATATAAACACAACTTTCATACACATTGGGAAACCAAAAATTTGGTGTGACTCACCTTATTGCAATATTTGCTCTGTTGTGGAATCAAAGCTGCAATATCTCTAAGGTATACCTGACATACACATATAAATTTGTTTTTGTTTTAGCTTATAGTGTTTGAATTTTAAAATGACGCTTTTGTGAAAAAATCAACATTCTTTATTATCTTATTTGTACTATGGAACTATGATGCTGTCTGCTAATACAAAAATAACTATTAAATTGTGTGTGGAAGTTAACCTGTGACTTTGTACATGACATTCAAGATATATTTATTAAGACACATATCTTGAAAGTTTGTATAGATTATTTTTTGCACAATGTAAATAAACAAGTGAAAATGTCATGTGATTCAACCTAATATTCTCATAGACACATGTGTACATCACTGTATTTACATACACACACACAAACAATGCTAACTATTGAGAATCAGGGAAAGATTCCAAGAGGTAGTATTATTTGTGATTAATCTTGAAGAATGAGTAAGAGTTTGTAAACAGATATGAATGAACATTCCAGAGAAAGGTAACAGAATGTTCAAAGGCACAGACGAAGAAAGATTTAATGTATTCAAATAATTTGAGGGTAGATTAAAGATAAGGATGCGTGCAGTGTGTTGGGAGTGTGTGTGTGTGTGTAGGGGGGCGGTTCCAGAAGGATGGGATGGTGGAGGAAAGAGTGCCAAGAATAGATAGTATAAAAACAAGCAGGGTCCAAATTGTAGACTTTATCTTAAGGGCAATGGAAGCCTTTGAAAGCTTTTTAGCAAAAGAGTGACATGATCACATCTGCATTTCAGAAAATTCATTTTGATGGCAGTGTGGAAAATAGATCAGAACCCTGCTAAGGAAATGGTATCAGAGAAAGCAGTTCAGAGACTATTTTAATAATCAATAATAGTGAAGAAATAAAGCAACAGGAATTTGGATAAATGAGGAGTGATAAAAACTTACCTATCAGATACAATGAACACTATTCTGGTGATGGACATATTAAAAACCCTGATGTCAGCATTATACAATGTATTCATGTAACAAAAACATTTGTACCTCCTTAATATTCTGACACTTAAAAAAACATAAAAAAAACCCAAAATGACTTGGGGCTGGGTGCAGTGTGGCTCATGCCTGTAATCCCAGCACTTCAGGAGGAGGGCTGAGGCACGAGGATCACTTGAACCCAGGAGTTTGAGGCTACAGTGAGCAATGATGATGCCACTGCATTCTATCCCAGGGGATAGAGCAAGACACTGTCTCAAAAAAGAAAAAGAAAAAAACCACAACTGATCACAAAGAACAAAGCTGGGGGCATCACACTACCAGACTTCAAAATACACTACAAAGCTATGGTAACCAAAACAGAATGAAAATGGCATAAAAAACAGGCACATAGATTAATGGAGCAGAAAAGAGAACCGAGAAGTTAATCCACATATAGACAGCCAATTGATTTTTGACAAAGGTGCCTAGAACACTCACTGAGGAAAGAATAAACAGTCTCTTCAATAAATGGTGCTGTTAAAACATGATATGCACATGCAGAAGAATAAAACTGGATGACTACCTCTCACCCAACACAAAAACAACTCAAAATGGACCAAAGATCTAAATATGAGACACAAAATTATAAACTACTAGAAAAACATACAGAAAACACTTTAGGACATTGGTCTGGGAAAATATTCATGAATAAGACCTCAAAAGTATACGCAACACAAGCAAAAATAAACAAACAAAATTATATCAAACTAAAAAGCTTCTGTACAGCAAAGGAAACAGTCAACAGTGTAAAAAGACAACTTACAGAATGGGTAAAAATATCTCCAAACTATTCTTTAGACAGGGGATTAATTCCCAGAATATACAAGGAACTCAAACATCTCAACAGCTAAAGAAAAGAAAAAAAGAAAATAAAACTAAATCAAATTAAAAACTGGGCAAATATGACCAAATGATCTGAATAGACATTTCTCAATAAAAGACATAAAAATGGCCAACAGGTATATGAAAAAATGCTCAGCATCACTAATCATCAGGGAAATGTAAATCAAAATCACAATGAGGTATCGTCTCACCCTAGCTAGGATGGGTATTATCAAAAAGACAAAAAATAATTTCTGGCAAGGATGAGGAGAAAAGAAAACTATAATACATTGTTGGTGGGAATATAAACTAATACAGCCACTGTGGAGAACAGTATGGAGGTTCCTCAAAAATCTATAAATAGAATTACTGTGTGATCCAGCAACCATACTACGGTACATTTATCCAAAGGAAAGGCAATTTGTATATCAAAGAGACATCTGCACCCCCTACGGTTATTGATGCACTGTTCACAATAGCCAAGATATCCAACAACATCAATGGATAAAGAAAATGTAGTGGGAAGGGGGGGGGCGGAGCAAGATGGTAGACGAGAAACACCGCCAGAGTATCTGCAAAAAAGACAGATTCTAAAAGAAAGAAGCA